ACATTTCCTGCCTGTGTCCTTAATTCCAAAACTAGCTTTCAAGACAAAAGTTCTCTGTGTTAGAACACCATCTCCTAGGCAGGGCAGATCGCTCCTTAAAAAGCTGTATTGGTGCCTGAGAAACACGAGTATCCGCTTTACCAGCTCAGCCCTTTTCAGTCTTTGAAAAGTGGTTTTGTTCACCCTGAACTGATGAATTTCTATTGAAACGTTATGTTTCTCTAACACACACAATAAACTGGCACTTGGCAGTGATTTCAACAAGTGAATGGGGCCAGGCTGCCATCAGAACAAAGCTGAGGGAGCTGAAGCAAGCCAGATTTAAATGAGTTCATCTACAGAGAATCCTTTCTCTGAAGGCTGTTAACTTAAAACAAAACGGCTGTCCTCTCCTTTGGGTGCTATAGCTGCCTTCCCTGGTTTGCACTGAGAGAAGCACATCTGGTCTAAGAACCAGAGAACCAAGTTACTACGGCAAGAAATGCTAGGCCTCCGGAGTCCTGCTCTCACCTGGGTAAGGTGCTCGATTCATTCTCCCTCCAGAAGGCCCAGGCCCACCACACTTCCTGCCATCCATGCTGACCCTGGCCACACGCAACCCTGGGCTTGGATTCAGCTACCTTCAGCAGCTCTGACCCCCTTCTGACAGTGGGCTCAGCACCTAGTCATGCTGACTTGACCAACCCCAGCACAGCCTCTGAGAGCCTTGACCCAGCCAACGGCTGGAGCTGCTCCCTCTGATGGGATGGTGGGATCCAGCCAACCCCCTCTATGACTGAAGTTCTCATCTAAAGGAAACATGTGTGGTGCGTTTGTGTGTCCATGTCTTCACACACTCCTGGACACTGAAGAGCAGCTTCAGGCCTGGGAGGTGAGACCAGGGTTGTACAGAGCTATCCAGCACTGATGTGGCCATGTGTTAGAATCACAGGGTGGGGGGTTTGCTTTGCAAAACTTCCTATCAATCTAGGATGGGGCCTGGGCATCAGAATGTTCCAAAAAGCATCCCAGATGGTGTTAATATGCAACTAGGGCTGATGTAGAGAGAAAGAGGCAGTGACCATCAGCTGAGGCTCCCCTGTGCGCCCAGATGGAGGAGAGCACACAATTTAAAAGCAAGCCCCTTTCCTGAGTAAGATCATCTCTGCAGCCTACCAGGTGACCACAAGAACAGTGTGTTGAATTCGGGTGCTATGTTTCATGCAGACAGTGCCTCTTTAACTAGTCTGAGCCTCAGTTACCCCAACTATTAGGGAAACAGCTACTCTAGATTCACTTGTGTTACTTCTCTCATCCCCCATTCTCCAGCTTTATGCATCAGCCTTCTCTCTCCACCTCTCATGTAATGCAGACACAAAAACGCTATATATGTTGCCTTAGATTTGATTTGGATAGTGTCTGCCCTCTAAGTAAATAATAGCACAGAAATGATAAGCTCTATAATTTAACTAGGGAATATGACACTGATAATGTGACAGTCCCTAACGCATAACATACTCCATTCCTGGCACCGGAGCTAACCATTCCACTGGGGAACGCTTGTGTGGAAATGCACAGATCTCGCCCTTGGGTGCCAGCCAGGCAGCAGCTCTCTGCACACAGCACCTGCTCGCCACGATGCTGCCACTCTTGATTCCCTCTGAGCTGGGTTTAGTATCTGCTTATCAAGAAGATTCATTTTAGAACTATTTTCAGAACAAGTCTAAAGACCTCCTTAAGGGATATATTAGCTACATTACTTTAACCCAGTGAAATACATAAATCTCTCATCCTACAATAAATTCAGCACATAGGAGGGCAAGCAGTCTCTCAGATGGGCCTACTTGGATGAAAAATAGCATGTAAATATGCAAATGACCAAGGCATATGGCAGAATGTGCAACAAAGCGGGTCTCTGGAACCCTATTTACAATGATCTAGTTATCCAATCAGAAACCTGGTAGTTATTCTAGAAGCCTACCTCCCGTCAACTGCCTCCCACTCCTTCCAAATCCCTAAGTCCTACAGATTCAATTTTGTGCACACATTCATATTTGTCTCTTCTATCCCAACCCATAGCTCCTATTTAAATGTGCTGCTTCCCAGACTCCTCCAGCGGCCTCCTAACTGCCCCTCTGTATTGAGTCTTGCCCCCTCCAACCCATCCTTCTATGTTCCGCCACAGCAATCTTTATGAAACAATCCTGACCACATTGCCCTCTCATTAAAACCTTTCACTGGCCCTAACCTTTTTGGCTCAGTGGCTAGAGCATCGGCCTGCAGACTGAAGGGTCCCAGGTTTGATTCCAGTCAAGGGCATGTACCTTGGCTGCGGGCACATCCTCAGTAGGGGGTGTGCAGGAGGCAGCCGATTGATGTTTCTCTCTCATCGATGTTTCTAACTCTCTCTCCCTCTCCCTTCCTCTCTGTAAAAAATCAATAAAATATATTAAAAAAAACAACAAAAACCTTTCACTGGCTCCCTACTGTCTACAGAATGACATTCAAGGTCCAAGCAAGGTATACACCCGCCCCCCCCAGTCTCATCTCTCCAACCTCAGGTCTCCTGTGCCTCACCTTAAGCCCTCTGCTCCAGTCTGATGAGCTAGCTACTTGGAGCTCCCAGCACACCAGCCTGCCTCGCATCTCCTTACCTCTGTTTGGGCTGTTTGAATGCCAGCATTCGAACAACTCAGGTTCTTTACAGCTCAGATTCTTTGCTTTCGGCTGTTTACAATATAGAACTGCCTCTTATTCCACGTGTGTGAGTCATTTGTAGAGGCAAAATAAATAAATAAATAAATCAGTCCAGGCAAGATATCACCTTCTTATCCCCTCAGAAATGATGTATGTGTTCTGTATTCCTGAAAGAAGGGTCATGTTTCAAGATATTCCAAAAGCTGATAGTGTGAAACTATCCAAGTGAGTTACTCCCAGACCCGGGTCCTCACTGTTTCAAGCGCCGTCTCCCTGGCAGTGGTGATTATTTGAGTGAGGTATAGGGTGGAGACACTGATTACAGCAGAATGACTGTGGCGTAAACCAACATAACATATGAAGTCTACCTCCACATCCCCTGCCCGTGTAGAAGAAAAATAACACTGGGAATGAATACTGACTTCCCTGGATGTGTGGCTTCTATGCCAATGAAGGAGTCACATAAACATAAAGGCAGCATCCTTGATTCCTCAGCGGGCAGCCCCAGTGCCCAAAACAGAGCTTCTAGAAGGCTCTGGGCCCACCTAGAATTTCCATTAAAATGTCCAATATCTGCAACGTGGCAGCAACTTAATACCTAGCAGATACCCTCTTCTCCAAGTACTGATTTCATATTGGAAAATGAGCAATTTAAATAAATGTTTCATTAACAGAGTGTTCTCCTGCTTGATGCTAATGTTATTTGTTTTCCTCAATTCTCTTCCATGGAGTCATTTCATGCAATCCTCCAAAGGACAATCTGAAACTCTCCCGGTCCCTAATAGACAATCCAGGAAACCTAGAAACCATCCAAACAACCAAAGAAATAAGTGAAAACCCTTAACTAAAGAGCTATTCAGACCCATCTGTTCCGGAACACACATCACACATGATACAGAACAGAACAAACCCTCCTAACCACCTTGGTGGCACTGGGTTTGTACTGATGGCAGCAAAGGATCCTGCAAAGGGCACTGCTGGTCCCTGAGACAGAAGTGGAGGGGCGGCTTATTCAGGAAGAATGTGTGGGTGTGACATTTGTTTTAAGGCCCTACAAGGCTTGTTCCCATTCTGTTTTGCCTATCTGGACAGGATTCTTGCTTGATGCTGGTTCCAAACCCAAAAAATTTCAAGGATATTTCTAACATCTTTTATTAATAGAAGTTATTTAAAAATTTCATAGCACAGGGCTCAGATACACTCCAAACAGGCAAATGCAAATAAGGGTTTGTTCCCCCAAACTTTGTGAGACACAGAATGGCTTGATCATGATGGACACCACATTAGTGAAAGGTCATCTTTTGGGCGGGTCCAGTCACTTTGGGATGGTTCTGTGTGTGCCGTTCTACTAAAGGTGAGATCTTGATTTGGTTCTATTCCACATGGGGAGCAAAAGTAAAACTCAATGAAGAGGTGAAGCACTTCAATAGTAAATTGTATGGAACTTTCTGGGTGCCGTGTGTGTGACGGAAAGTGCAAGACCCGTGAAAGAGTATGGAAATAACACTGGTGGGGCTGGCACTCCAGGCTCTGCAAGGCACTGAACAAATTAATCTCTGAGCTTCATCTCCTTATTATAAAATAAAGCAACAATGATAACACTGGCGGCAGTGGTGGTGGCAGCTACCCTTACTGAGGACTTACTATAGCAGGTGTTATTGGAAGCGCTTTACAAACACTTGTGAAGCACCATCTCACTTCATCCTGAACCACATGTAGGGAGATGTTATCAACTTCATTTCACAGAAGAGGCTCAGAGCTCAGTAACTGGCCCAAGGTCACCTGCTAGAGCAGTGGTTCTCAACCTTGGCTGCACATTAGAATCACCTGGGAATCTTTTTAAAATCCTGATTTCTGGGCCTCATCCTCCGGAAATTCTGTTTCTTTGTTATGGGGTGGGGCCACAACATTAGTAACAAAGAAACAGAATTTCCGGAGGATGAGGCCCAGAAATCAGGATTTTAAAAAGATTCCCAGGTGATTCTAATGTGCAGCCAAGGTTGAGAACCACTGCGCTAGAGTGAGTGTCAGGGTCTCAGTTCAAAACCAAGTCTACTTGACTGCTGTGATCTTAGGGAAAAAATAACCACCGCAAATGACTGCTGCAAATGATATAATACATACAATGCATAGTTGAAAATGTCCCTGAAAGAAAGCACTACGTCAGCCTCAGTCGTCACTGACAGAGCCCACCTCTCCCTGCAGCCAGGTCTGTCGCCCTCTTTGAACTCTGGGAGGCCAGTGCCCACAGCCTCCTCCCTCCTTGAATTAGGGATGGATAATCCCAAGGCAGCCGGAGAAGAAGGCGTGCCTCTTGGACTTACTTTCTGAGCACGGCTATCTCATTCTCTATGCTGCTTTCTTTGCCCTTCAGCGCCTTCTTAGGAATGCACTTCACCGCAAAGAGCTTTCCAGTTGCTTTCTCTTCGGCTAAAACCACTTCAGAAAATGCCCCACTGTGAAGAAAAAGGGAGAAAAAGAGTGGTTTAGTTCAGGATTTAGGAGTTCCAAAGGCTCCTCTAATCCCACTGCCAAAGTTTGAGCAATAACAGCGACGCAAATGACCACCAGCATTGCTATACTTTATTACCCAGCATCACTCCCGACCAAACTTCTATGCAAGGAAGTACACACACAAATGTGCCCTCATGCAGAGGGACACATGGATGTCCACATGGGTTTGGCTGCCTCCCAGTGCCACTTGCTACCCTGCAGACCATCATGTAGCAGCGACTTGGGAGCAAACAGAGAAGCTTCCAGCAAGATTCCTACCGAGAAAGATGGTGTCCATCTGAAGCTGTCGGCACCCCCACACCCAAGTAGACCAGTATGACCATACTAAAATTTCTAGATTCCTCTCAGGCCCTTCCATCCCAAGAAAATTTCAGAGTACTTCACAAACACTTAACAAATTTTTGCAGACAGGTAAGGATGTGACTAAAGTGTGAGTTAGTGCCACACGTGTTATCGCCATGGGGTTAATTAATTGGTAGGGCGTGGCATGCAAGTCTTCAATAAGCATCTTGTTTCTTTATTAAACCAACCAAACAAAGACACAAATGATGCCCTGAGTGAGATAGACTTTCCTGCCTGAAAATATAAATTTAACTCTGTAAGGGCAGAGCAACAAGCTGAAAACATAACCAAGACTTGAGGCCAGACAGCCCATTTCTCCGGAGAGGTCCCCTGTGGTCAGTGAACCCCAGAGCCAGTGCCTCCCTGGCTGCCTTGCCCCCTCCCTGTATTTGCCAGCAGCAGTCTGGATGATGCGCTTAGGTTGGGGGGCAGAACACCCCCAATGAGTCCTCCAGTGTTCATTCCAGATCTCAGTAACGTGGACCTGTGCACACGGGTCAAGGAAAACCACAAGCCTCTGAGTCATTCTCCATGCCTAGACTTCCTTTTATATCCTCAGAGAGAGAACAAATGCGGTTTCTACACAGTTATGATGAGGGACAACCCCTCCTACATAAAAAGAAACCCCTGGAAGGACCAATGTCATCCCAACAGCCATGCCTAGGGGGCCTTTGTTCTTCAGTCAACATCAAAGAGATGCCTAAGCAAGGACAACATACTTTTGCCTCCCTCTCCTTCCCCATCTGAAGGGATATGCATCTGTCAAAGGAAGATAAGTAGATATTTTAAAAATCCTTTCCAATGAGAGGAATTCACTCCACTTAGTACAATTAACTGTTTGGAACAGCGTTCCTACTGGAACATTAACTCCCACGAGAGAAGTCCGTCCATCTCCAAGGTCTGTATCTAATTACATAAACCTGAGGGGCAGAAGATAGGCATTCCACAACAGAACCAAGTGGAAAATGCCAGAACTGAGGCATTCCACCCAAATCCACAAATAATCGGCAAAGAAGGATTCTCCCCTCACAGTACCGTAGGCCTCACATGGAACCAGGCAGAAGAGCAATTATGAAATAATAAATACATGAAAACCCACAATAGATTTATCATAAAGTAATATATGGAATAGGACATTCCCAGTAACATTTAGTCACTGCCAACGACTTTTGCCCCAAAAGACCAATTCATACAATTTCAGGCACCTCCCCCCCCCACCCCCATCTCCTCCGCAACCCAGGGGTTGTCTCTCCCCTGGCTTCTGTCTCAGGGACAGACCCAGATGGATTCATCTCAAAGTGAGTGTGGTTTCTAAGCTGGAAGAAACTGTGGACAACTACATACATGCTGCCTCTTGCTATCCTCCAGGAGGCAGAACAAGAACTATGCTGGAGAAAAGAAAGATCAGTGATGACAGACCTAAAACCATGTGAGGATCCTAAAACCATGGGCGAGGAATCCATGCATTCATTCTGTTTCCCTATTGGCTACTTGGGTCCCTGATGCCGCTGATACCATAATGGTTTCTCTCCTGAGTCTGCTGGACTTACTACGTCCATTTTCCAGAAGGTGGCGAACCCTTCAGCAGTGGCAACCAAGCTGCCAGAGCTCTGACGGACCACTGCTGGCAGACCCCACTCTGCACCCACCCACGCTCTGCCTCCTCAGGATCTGTGTGAGTGGTAATGTTAGCTAGGTGGTGAAATATTAATAAAGAAAGGTAGCAAAGGGAACTAGACATTATTAAGCATAATCAACCAGGGAGAATAAGCCTGTTTAATCAGGAAGCTACAGCTTGACACTCCAGGGGATAGCAGCATTGCCCCATCACAGGGATTAATATCCCTCCCTTTCCCCATGCAGGGAGCAGCCCACCCTCCAGTGCAGGTGTCAGGGGGGCAGGGGGAGGTAAGCACATGTGCAGTACAAGTCAAGGTGGCGCACGGGGGTGGGGGTGGGGGTCTTCCTATGAGGCATGAGCAACAGGAGCCAAGATAGTGACCATAAAGGCTGTCAGCCCAACCTGGGAAAGAGGAGGTTGGTTAGGAGGCAGATCCACCAGAAGCCCACGAAAGCTTGGGAGTTGATGACTGGTTAGTTTGAAGAGAGCCTTGTCCTTCCCAAGCCCAAGATAATATAATCCCAGCTAACAAAGCCTTCCTTCCTCTCCCTCTCTCCCTTCTTCCCCTCTGTCCCTCTCTCCCTCTCCCTCTCCTTCTCCCTCCCAGTAACACTCGCTTGCCCTGTTCCTTTCTGAGTTCTCTCTGTAGCAGTCATGCAGTTTTAGCAGCCACCTGGGGCCCATGGCTGACCACACAGGCTCCAAAGGACTAACCTTTCACATAACACATAAACTGTGGACACTGGTCTTTGTTTGGGGCTTGATGAAGACAAGATTGGAATTTTTTCTACAGTGGGATGGATGCAGATGGGACATTGGAAACCCAGGGACAGCCAGCCTTCTATTTCCACCTAAATAAATCCTACCATGTCACAATCTTCCAGATGTGGGTCTGTGGAATGCTTTTCTCATGAAAGAACATGATTTCCACCAGCAGCAGTAACAGACTACGGCCAACAGAGGAGTCCTGTGCTTAGCTGTAGCTATCAGGGGCGCAAAGGGGAAAGTTCCTTGTTCCGTGGATCATTCTTTCCCTGAGCAGGAGGTGAGGTTTCTATGTGAATCTACTCCTTGACCATGACATTATGGGAGGGGACTAGAGATAGCCATCAGGTCCACTGCTGGTGGCTGCTGCAGGAAGCTGAGGTCAAGGTAAGGCAGCTCCTGGATCACAAATTTCTCTACCTTTGTCCCTTACTTCAGGAGGGATGTACCATCTGTGACCCCATGCTGAGGGTTGGACAATGGGCATAGACCCATAAAGGGCTTCATGAGCTAAGCATCTGGGGGCTTGACAATGAGGCACCTGTGAAAGGGCACAGGGCATGCCCCAGAAGGCCGGGGTGCCCCCTCGTGACTCTGGTAGTCTCTATCAACAGGTACTGAGTAGGGTCACAAAGCCAAGATTATACAGTCCCTCAGCTCAGACTGAAAGTCAGCTTGAAAATTTCACTTTTGGGTATAACCCACCAAAATTGAAAGCTGGGGCTCAAACGTATGTGGTACAGACATGCCATGGAATACTCAGCCATCAAAAGGAATGAAATTCTGACACAGGTTACAACATGAATGTACCTTGAAGGCCTTATTCTTTTTATTTTTTTTAAATATATATTTCACCGATCTTTTACTGAGAGGAAACTGAAAGTCAGCTTGAAAATTTCACTTTTGGGTATAACCCACCAAAATTGAAAGCTGGGGCTCAAACGTATGTGGTATAGACATGCCATGGAATACTCAGCCACCAAAAGGAATGAAATTCTGACACAGGTTACAACATGAATGAACCTTGAAGGCCTTATTCTAAGTTAAATATAAGGCCAGAATTGAAAGGACAAATAGTGTATAACCCCACATATATGAAGTACCTAGAGTACTCAAATTCATAGACAGAAAGTAGAATGGTGGTTTCCAGGGGCTGGAGAAAGGGAAAAGGCGGGGGGAGGGGGGGTGGTATTGTTTAATGGGTACAGAGTCTCTGTTTGAGAAGATAAAAAGTTTTAGAGGTAATGGTGGTGATGGTTTTATAACAATGTGAATGTATTCAATGTCACTAAACTGTACACTCAAAAATGGCTAAAATGGTACATTTTATGTTATTTATACATATTTTAACACAATCTATATATATAAAAGCCTAAGCAACCAGACGACTGACCAGTAGCTATAACAACCACGGACCACCAGGGGGAAGATGCTCAACGCAGGAGCTGCCCCCTGGTGGTCAGTGTGCTCCCACAGCGGGAGCACCGCTCAGCTGATTTGTTACAATGTTCAAACTGCAGGCTCAGAGGCCTGCAAGGCAGGCGGGGAACGTTGGTTTCCTCCCCGTCACTGAAGGAAGCAAGCCTCATGTTAGTTTCAAGCTGCCTGGCTGCCGGCCGCCATCTTGGCTGTCAGTTAATTTGCATATCTCCCTGATTAGCCAATGGGAAGGGTAGCAGTCGTACGCCAATTACCATGTTTCTCTTTTATTAGTGTAGATGTGAATGTATTCAATGTCACTAAACACTCAAAAATGGCTAAAATGGTACATTTTATGTTATTTATACATATTTTAACACAATCTATATATATAAAAGCCTAAGCAACCAGACGACTGACCAGTAGCTATAACAACCACGGACCACCAGGGGGAAGATGCTCAACGCAGGAGCTGCCCCCTGGTGGTCAGTGTGCTCCCACAGCGGGAGCACCGCTCAGCTGACAGACAGGCACCAGATGCCGGGCTCATGGCTGGCGCCTGATGAGCGCAGCTGCACCAGCCTCTCCCACAGACACTCCCCCTGAGTGCCCAAGCTGCGGCAGCAGCAGGCGCAGTGAGGCCAGGATGAAGAGTGCAGCGCGATGCCCAGCCAGGGCTCAGGCTTCTCCCCGGCCTCCTGCTGCTTCATGCACTACTTCATGCTGCGGGATCACAACACAGACTGTGGGCTGGAGCCCGATGAGCTGTAGGGTAAGGCTGGGCTGCAGCGGGCG